TAAACCGGAGGCCATTGTCGCCCGGCTTTGGCCTCGAGGGTTTGGGGATTGGTTGAGGTTGCTGTTGCGCAAGCAGTTGCTTGCGAGCTAAGAGCTCATGCTGGCTAAGGAAATCATCCTGTTTTGGTTGGGCTTGAGGCTTGTTTTGTATGCCCCAGCTACCCCATCCGTCATCGGCTCCGACGGTTCTCGTGTTCGAAAATTGTCGCTTGTTCCGTGGCGCCGGTCGCAGCGAGAGGCGATGTTGGCAGAATGCGCATATTGAAGAAGACTCCCGCTATAAGACAAATCAATTAGCCAGGCGCATAGGCCGAAGATAGGTGTTAGGGAAGATATTAGCGAACCTTGGATACACTCGCTCTTAGCATAATGAAACAGCTTCAAATCGCCATGCGACAAGTGAACCTCAACGAATTCAAGAGCACCTCAAAATTGTCGAGGATTATCGATCGAGATAAAAAGTTCCATATCGCGGCGCTACACAGTCTAATCAATGGAAATTTAGTGGGGCCTTCCGCGCTGACCCGCGAATATTCAAGCCACATAATTCAGGATCAGGGGTAGCTTCAGCCACATCCCCTTCACCTCGAATTTTTACCTACACGTCATCCTTCTAACTTTCCTCCTGCCTACGGAATGCCGGAGAGTCAATTTCACAAGGCCAACTAAGTCATTCTCTTCCCTCTTCAATCGCTTGACCATGGCCCGGCAAAGGGGTCTGGGCAAGCCGGCCGCCGCCAAGAAGAAGGACGGCGGCCCCCCGGCGCCTTTCAAGCGGCCTCCCGAGGTGCTCCAGCCCTTCGTCGACACCCTCGACGAGAAGCACGTGTACATCGCGCACGTGGACAACCAACCGGCGGACTTCAAGCGCAAGATCTTTGCCGTCCCGGTGCTCATGAACATCGGGCTGGTGGCGCTCTTCGTCTACCGCGTGTGGTACATCGCGCCGTACTACCTCCAGATCCTCGCGTCTGTCCTGGGCTACCCTAACGAGACCACCATGGTCGTCGACGAGATGGAGTGGTCGGAGATCGCGCCCGAGGTGGCCAAGCGCGCGTTCTCGTTCATGTTCGACTTCGTGCTGTGCGTTTTCGTCGGTCCCTGGCCGTACGACTTTGCCTTCTCCCAGGACCACGGGAATCCCGTCCAGTGGCGCTGGAGTGTCGGGTTCCGCGACCGCGAGGTGGTAGTTCGCCGCAGCAGGAAGTGGACGGAGACTATGGGCGATGTGGTCAATGACGACAGCGCCAGGAGTATGTTCTTGTCGCGCGTCGGCACTGCGACTGCGCCTATGTTGCTGAACGAGAAGACGGGCTACTTACTCATGAATGCCGATTGGGACCTGGACTGGGCGGCTATGGTTGACGCCACCACGATGGTCGACAAGAAGATGGCGGCGATCGAAGCCTTCAAGACAGTCATCTTGGTCTTCCACGAGGAGTATGGCTGGCTCTGCGTCGACATGAAAATCGGCGAGAACGCCGAGGAAGACGAGAGGAGACGCCAAGTATTCGCCTTCAGGGATGCACTCGTGACAGTCGGCAAGGAGGACTTATTCTATCGCTGGATCGAGATCATCCAATTCGAAACGTCACAACCCGGCAGCTTCACCCCGGAGAAACAGGCGCAGACAGCAAAGCAAATCAGGGACATGTTCGATAAGCAGGGTATTAACTTTGACGAGTTCTGGAAGGAAAGCGTGGGCCAGGATGCATTCAATGGTCAAATGTAATTATCAGGATCGGAAAAAGATCTATGGTGGTGGGGAAAGACTGATTTCAACGGATACAATATTATATATTATACATATACTATACAAGACACTTATGTTCTACCGTCTAAGCAGTACTTGACGAGCCTATTAATGGGAAGAAGATATCTCTTAAAACATTTACTGTTGCTAACTAACTAAAGAGACGAATGGTCAAATAGCACAATGAGCTCCTATTGTACCACCACTGGTATTGAGACACGGGTATACCTACGCTTGCTCAATCGCAGCAGTAGTCACCATGCAAGTTTTAAACAGATCGATTTTTTTTTATAAATAGCGTTGCCACTGAATACTACGGCACGCAACTTAGTGTAAACGAACAGCATACTATGAAGCAGGTCATTCGTAATTGCACGTGTGAAATCGGCGTAAGGCCAGAACTTGCAAGAAACTCAGCGATTCAGATTCATATGTTCTAGGAGGATGCCTCCAAGCACTGGAGGCTATGCAGTCTATGCCGAAGACAACAGATGCTAGTTGAAATCAGCTCATTTAGTCTTGCCGCTCTTCTTCCCCACGCTCTTGCCCAGGGCAGCCTCGCGCTTCTTAGCCTCTTTGGCCTCGATCTCGGCCTTTCGGGCCTTCTCCTGCGCTTCTCGTTCCTCTTTCTCGGCCTAGATTTGAATGTTAGCAATTGTAAAAGAGTTGATATGTAGGAAATACAAACCTGTTTTCGGGCAGCCTCGGCTTCTCGCTTCTCGCGGATGAGCTTCAGGCGAGCTAGATCGGCCTTGGCCTCGTCCGTCTTGCCAGCCTCGTGCAGCTTGCGGTATCTCTCCTTGGCCTGCGCCGCCTCCATAGACTCGCGCTCCTTTCGGCTCATAGCGACGTTCTTGACTCCCTCGGTGACCTCCTCGACGTCGTCGTCAACCTGCTTAGGCTTGGTCATGTTTCGGGCGGCCTTGGAGTGGTTAGGGTTCGCGGGCATGTCATCATCTTCTTCCTCTTCGGAGTCGCTGGGCATATCGCCAACTTGAACAGTCTTGCTCTTTCGGGCGATAGCGGCTTCCTTCTGGGCCTTCTTAGCTTGCTTGCGCTCCTCTCGGGTCAACTCGGCCTGCTGTTGGGATGGGCCGGCATCTGAGTCGTCCTCGTCGGACTCTTCTTCGTCAGAGTCCTCCTCCTCTTCATCTTCGTCGTCTTTCTTAGCATCTTCGCTCCACATGCTGATCTCATTGCCATCGGCATCGAGGGGTCGGAGGTCACGAGAGAAGTGTTTTCCACCTGTAAAAGAGCAGTATTAGCACCTTGAAAAATGCAAAAACGGATATTAAAAAGAGACGGGATGTTATTACATACCTCCTCGAGTAAATTTCTTGAACTTGCCGCCACGGCCTCGAGAGTTGGCACCTGGTCCTCCGCGTCCAGACATGATGGTGTTGATGATAGGAAAATTGACGGATGGTGGGGTAGCTTAGTGACTAGGGAATCGCAGTCGAGGTTAAATACGTCACAGACGTCGGCGATCTAGGTTAGCGGTAAAGCTCTAATTTCAAATCGGCAGGATTTAAGTTAACTTAAACCAAGCCTCAAGAAAACCGCGGAGGAAATGGGGATCGTTGAGGTAGAATAAATAATACCAGTCGAGTCATCAATGGCGAGTGATTGATAAAAGAGGGGCAAAACAGAAGACGTGTGTGCTTTGAATTTCCCAGTACTCGATAAAGCGATTGTTTAGCGCTTATCGCTGCATGAAAGAGTCAGAGATCAGGGCCTAATGGCGGGGTAATCTAGCTGTTAGAAGCGATACGTTACCTGCTGATTTACAGCGGTGGTCATTGGTTCAGCCAGGCGTAGCTTTACCGATTCTAGACTAGCCCCTACCCACCCGCCACTTCAGCACATGTATGTAAGTTCTAACGGGAAACATCCTGCAGGCGGTCGACTCAGCGATACAGAAGGAGCTTACTGTGCAGCAGGGGATTGGACAGCCCAAATTCTAAAGTTCAGGGAAGGCTCAGTGGACAACAGGGAACAATGTTACGCCGTTTCACGCGTTCGCGTCCAGCCCCACACACGTTCAATCCATAAAATTAATTCTCGTGAACCGCTTTCGAGTTCCTTCCTTTTCCCCTTCTCATCATAAGACAACATCCTTCATATTCACTCTGGCTTTCGTCACTCTTCGGAGTCAATGGCAGGTCTTGGAGGGGAAACTGGAGGAGAGAAGGAATTTTTCGATCTCTTACCCTCTGGCCCGTCGTGGTTTCCTTTCGGAGCCGCAGTTGGGTACCAGAGAAATTTTTGCATCGATACATGCCACTGCACCTGGATAGGGGCGATATATCTAAACCCAACTTGAAGGTCGCGACCGGTCATTGCTCAACAGAGTGGCAAGTCCTTAATTACGAATCCTTGTAGTTGCTCAAGTGCGCCCTTTCCGACATGATACGCGTTCACTGGCCGCCGTGGAAGTAGCCCTCTAAATTGAAACATTTGAACGTCATTACTTCGTGTTGGATTCACGCCCCTGCCCATTCACACATGAATCTGCTTGAAGCCTTACATGCTGTCTAGAATCTGGAACATGCGACAGGTGGCCCAGCGCCTTCGAGGTTTATCAATGTTACGGAGCCCTGGAGGCGAAGGTGCTAGTTTACAGCGGAAATTGAGTTTGAAGTTCATCTAAACCATCGATAGATGACCACCCGGGCAACTCGACAGTACCACTACAATGTAACTGGCATCCTTTCCATGATGAAATGTTTTTGGGGCAGGTCTCCCATAATATGGGGATTTGATACCAATGTAAGCTGCGGATCGCTCAGAGCTCCAATGCTCCCAAGGCTGAAGCAATTTCTCGCGTCTACAGTCCAAATACAACCCAGGGACTCTCCTGCAGTACCAGCTCAAGCCCAATCGTTCCAATACTCACGATGATTCTACTCAACACAAGGATTTTAGGCGTAGCTTTGTTCCTTCGTCAACTTAATTACATAGTACTTTTGCGCGAATAACCTCCACTAGCTGTAGCCTTCTGACTTTCAAATGTTAGATGTGAAGTCCGAAGTTTATTACGGTAACGGAAAAGGCATTATTCTAACATCGCGGCTATCCGTATATCCGTATTACATAAGCGCATGAAGCACCAAGGGCATGATTTAGGATCCACCAAGTCCAGACGCACCTTGCAATTGGCAACATTCCCACCTCTTTTTTGCAATTTCCGAATAGAAACAAAAGCGAACGATGAAGTCCAAAAAAATGGCAAAAAGGACCAAAAAAGGGGCTCAACCGGGAATTGAACCCGGGACCTCTCGCAGTCTGAAAGGTTAAAAACCCACCCGAAGCGAGAATCCTACGACTAGACCATTGAGCCTTTGTGAGGTAACCGGACCCGAATCGGAGGCTTATGACTCGGACCGGATCAGTTGTGGACTAACTCATCCATGTTGAAGTGCGATCTTATTGGGTATTATATCCAAAACAGGCCATGGAGACTACAAACTTGGAAGTTGATTGGCTGAAAGCTGCATCAAATTACTCTATTACGTTTAGCGTAGCTTAATTGACTAACCGTTTGTGGCAAAGGGACGTAAACTTATTCATGAGTGATCGGATTCCGCTGATATACTTGTCGTTTTTCGTCGAGTTTCCATAGGCTATGCATGTAGCATTAGCGGTCTACCATAACGAATAGATGGAGTGATGTCGTGCAAGTCAACTCGAATTCAAGGAACTTACCTAAGATTCAGGGGTAAAGGCGATAGAAGTTTTGACGGAACGAGTTCCTGTCTACGTCATCCCCGGTATTATTCGAAATCTCACCTAAATTTGTAGTTATAATTCTACTCCTAGCTACCATCCATGGATCCATATACTATTAAGGTCAACTTTAAGTATGATTCCCTTTGGTCCTTACTACTGCTATATTAAACGGCTAGCTTAGTGATCCGTGTGGAAAAAGTTGACACTTTGGTCCTCTGTATCTCGGAATTAGCCCCTTAGATTTGTACAATATGGGTTCTCCTCTTGGGATAGGGGTGTTCATAGGAGACAAGAAACTTCTAAGATATATAAGTTCGCAGTCTTAATGGGATAGGGATTAGGGCTTTTTACGCGAAAACATAATCTCTCCTTAGGTTTTCTGGTCCGCCTCGTGACAGCAGGTATCATTTTTTCATCGAAAAATGAAGGCCTCAATTATATCATTCGTTCAAAGTCTTAACAGTCCTAAATGCAAAACTAACTCCCATCTATTTGTAAGGATGAGTTCGCCGTGGTCTTGGTGCAAAATGCCCTCCAGATGTTTGGGTGTTATACCATACATTAGGTTTAGACATGAAGCTGTGGGGATGTCTACATCTTTGCCCCCTTTCCATTTGATAGTCATGACAATCCTACCATCTATTTTTAGCCCATTTTCTTAATGCCACTAAATGTGTCCGCGAAGCTATGCCGTTGCCATTGAAGGAGTATGTTCTCTCTAATTGTGCACCCTTTTATGGCATTGGAGTCGGTACAAAATCGTTCAGCTTTGTCCTCCACTCTTGAAGTATGACTTAGGAGTACACCATTAATGCGTAATGCGTAATGCATCTTTGAAGCAGACGGTCATTTTCACGGTTGTAACGTTGCTATGTATATTACATAGGAGACGAACTTGGAACTAAGAGCTTATTAACGTAAGGAAATGTGCAAATCACCTTCAGGTCAGGAATTGCTGGTTCACAAAGAGAGATAGAATCCCCCGAGTCGAAAACGAGGGGGGTACACCAGTAGTTCCTAAAACCCACTCAGTACTATTTGTGCAGAATGTTGGAGGCCAAGATGTTAAAGGATGTGCCCCTATTGCGATTCTCATGTCTTTTTGGAACTTAAAACATTCATTGCACAGTCCTGATATGTAAAAGGTCATACCGTCTACGATTCCACGCCAGGTATGAGTCCTATATGGATAAGGAAAATATTGGGAAAGAGAGCTTCGAAATTGATGTACACTCGTGAATAATGTAGCCCCTCTTAGTCTCTAGCCATGGCAACTGGAATAGGTTGATATGGGCGATGTTGTAGTTGGCTAATGTACCCAGGTACTAATGTACTACGGTCGTCGAGAACATCTAGGAGTTAGATATGCGTTAAACCAGACGTACGTATAGTCGACGACGACCTCTCAAATGGATTCCACAGATAAGATGTTTTTTTTGAAGTGACTGGCAACAAACACATGGCATCGCGGCCTAGTGGTATCATGTGCAGAAGTGTACGAGATGAATCTACTCAATACCTAGGGTTCAACTCTGGGGGAGGGCAGACATTTCGAACACTTTAGGCAAGGATGATTATAGACACTTGGTTTGATTGGGTACATATTGTGCCCGATGATAGACTACACACTTCGAGCTATGACTTGCCTTTTTTTTTACTTTTAGCCTCTTGTAGAAATTGCGCCTCAACCGTACAGATACCCGAATGTCTACTAACTTCTTTCCTATCTTCCCCTTTCTTATTCCTTTCCTTTAACGTCACTTAAAGCACCTCCTAATATCCCTTGCTACTTATAGATACCATTGGTACATGTAGATACTAAATAAGTCCATGTTCCCATTTTGTCTTCACTCTTCAGTAAAACAACCTAGTTTGTCAAATTGGGGGTTCTTGAAAAGGGGTGCCGGGTATAGTAAGGGGCATCACGTGGCGAATATCGGATTATTGCATAATAACTCTCTTACTAAGCATATCATGGAATGTTCTCAACTGTACTCGCAATCAGCATCGCCTCTTCAGCTGATAAAACGACATTCCGTCATTATGTTTCCCAGCCGTTGACAACTACCTCTCGTCTTGTGCAAGCATCTACTTGTCCATTTGATTTAGATAAACAGGAAACCAACCGAAGTCAATTTTTTCTCGGCCCTTTTGAGATATTTCTACCAACTCAAGTCCTCTATTCCACCACAACCCCAACGGCGACACTAGCGCAAGAACCAACACCCGACACCAGCACTGCAAGTGGCCTCAAAAGCAAAATGAGCAGCGACGTCCTACGCCACGTCAACTCGCTCCCGGAGCTTCAATCGCTCTTCGCATCCACAACGTACGTCGCAGTGGACTTCTACGCCGACTGGTGCGGGCCGTGCAAGGCCATCGCGCCGCACTACGAGACGCTGGCGAAGCAGCACTCAGCCCCCAACGTGCTGGCCTTTGCGAAAGTCAACGTGGACCACGCGCAGGATATCGCGCGCCAGTACGGGATCACCGCTATGCCCACGTTCATGTTCTTCAAGGACGGCAAGCAGGTTGCGGTCAATGGCCAGGCTATGATCCAGGGCGCTGACCCGCGGTCCCTGTCCGCGGCTGCGGAGAAGCTGGGGGGCTTGGCGAAGAAGCGGATGGCTGCGGCGTGAGGGTGAGGCTGGGAAATGAAGTTATGAGGATGGGATAGGATGGAAGGGGAATCAAGAATTCACGCCGGCAGGCACAGTCATCGTGTGTGGTGTCAGTAGATACCTAGGTAGAATGCGGGCGTTATGGAATAACATTGAGATGTTGCTACATTATAAAACTCTAATCATATCGTCGCTCCGTGACGCCCTGTACGCCTTTTTCTCCCCTTACCAGAGTGGTTCTTATGAGAAACAGACTCGCTCCGTATATACGGTCATATGTTCCGGAGGGCCTACAGCTCGTCCATTGTCCTATAGCCTACAGGCTAGATGCAAAAGATCTTCTATAGCATGTAGTCTCCTGGTACCTTAGCTACAAATATCACAAACGATCCATTACAGGGCTCTTTTACAGCAAGAGCGAGCGGTCCCAATGACCCCGAAGCCTTTAAGCCGTCCAGCATATGCGATATATGCGATGACGTACTATTCTACGATGTGTGCCTCCAGAAGCTCAAGACTGGAGCACCTCCTTTCAGGACCTGTAATGCAAAGCGTCCCTTCGTTGAGATCTATCTATCAAAGGCGTTAGCTAGTTAATAGGGTAGATAGGGAATGTAAAATTCGGAGAAATTAGTAGTGGGTTCACCGTAGACGTTGCGTCTATTACTTCAAATTTTGACTATTATAACTCCGTAATTTCTCAATATATGCATGTACCTACATGTATGCACCTCGAGTTTACACTGGATGTCTCCTACAACGGAAATCATTCTTGAATTTCAACTATGGTGAGATTGTGACAATATCTGCCCGCCTTTGTGGTTACCTTAGATTCCATAACCGACCTTGAAGCGCCTAATAGATACCCCTATTTTTATTATAATACGTCCTATGGGTATTGCATTTAGAACCACAGCCAGCAAGTCGATGACACGACAGGATGACGCACCCGATCCAAACGACCTTCTTTTTATCAATATCATCGACTTAGTTACCCGGGAATTAAGTGTAATCTCTACTGACGGTTCACGTATCAGCAAGTGCTTATTCCATTGGATGGTCACTCGCAAGATATGTTGATTGAAACATGATCCTATTTAGGTACAATAGATGGACTCTACGCGAAACTGGCTTTCATCGCGATATCCGAAGCGGTACAAAGGCCTCGTAAGGGAGCAGTAGGGGAACTGGCTCAGGAATAAGGAGATGGAGAAGTCAATCCTCCCTATTTCGGAGCAAGAAGCCTAGTCTCTGATATTACATATCGGCGTAATCAGGTGATCACACGGTTTTCATTCCCATTAATAACCACGCCGAAGCCTTCGGGAGGCTGCGTATCGGTTAGTCTATACGCCCCTTGGTTCCAGTATCTTGAGGTTGATACAATCCGCTAGTTCTTGGTAGCCTTGGGCTGAGACGAAGTCAGGTTTGCAGACAGCCTATGGTTCTCGTTATTACTTGTTGGTTTGATAGGTCAGTCTTCTAGCATATGGAATGCGAAAGGAGGGGGTTCTTATAGGTTTATGTTACGGATATGCCGGAAGCTAGTACGTGATCGATTCTCGGCCATTTTAGGGGGGACAACATAGGAGGATATCACCATTATCAGGATTTTAGTGTGAGTGAGGTTTGGTGATCGATAACGACTTGGAAGTTATCCCAGCGAACTCGTTGACAACTCGGCCGAACTTTTCGAGAGGGGTAAAAGACTTTGCCGCATTTACCGCAATGACCCTCGTCAAAATAAGCAAGTAGCCGAGTTTGAGGCTCCCAATCGGGCGCCACTCACGAACTTATTAGATACCTAATATAACACATTGCACCAACAACACCCGCGTCGTATAGTATTATCTGATATCAACTAATGGTGCGTTGCATTATATATCACTTTTGGTTTGTTGGTGGGTCTTAAAGCTGTTAGGGTGCCATTGTAACCGGGCCACGTGCTAAGGTGAATAGACCGATGGGGCTCAGAGTAACACGGCGATCA